CAGTGATTGTCATTTCGGGTCTCTGTCCCTTCTCAAGTTTTTGCCTTGGACTGTTATGAATGTGGCGATGCCCTGGGTCGTGTGCATGTGAACCGTGAGCTTGCTGACTAACAAGGTAGCAATAAGAGTGGTGGCGATGGGTGACAGGAAAAGTTAGTGATGGGGGCAACTTCCTTCTCTCTGTGTTAGTGCTCTTTGTTCCCCAGTTAGTGCTCCCCCAGCCTGTGAGTGCACCCCTCTGTCATAGTTTGCCTGCCCCCTCTCCAAGCAGGTTGCTTTTCTAAGCTCATGGGTAAATATTGACCTACTTGGGTTTCAGATGCCTGCCCCATGAAACTCTTGCTGGGCTAGATAAACACGCTGGGAAAACATCTCTTGAGAATAAGAGCTGTTCTTGGATAGGCTATAACGTGATGGCCTGCTCAATGAGCCCTTGCAATGGTCAGCACTGTGCTGGGCTGCCCCCCACCCCACCCCGGCCACCAGGATGGGGGGCAGACAAAGGTAGCTCCTCCCTCTGGGGCCTGTGGTCCAGCTGGGCAGATAGGACTCATATACTGGGAATGCTTGGAGGTTGTGTGCAAGACAGCTGCAAGGATCCCGAATGCATTTCTTGCCTGAGTAGGAGTGGCCCTCTGTGACCACCAGATCCCTACCCTTTCTCTGGTTTTAAGTGGAATTTAGTCAAGTGCCAAAATGTCTGCAGCAGACAATGGGCAATATGGTCTGGCAGGAAAGGGAGCTTGGCCAGTGCTGTGTGGGGAGGAGATGAGAACAGGGATGGGCTGCAGGGGAACTAGGCTGTGGGAAGGGAGTTGCTGTGGTTTGTTAATCTGCTGGTATGCATCTCCCTGACATGTCCCTGGACCTGCTCCTGGACTTCCAGTTTTTCCTGGGGCCTCCTGCCCTAGATCTCACTTGGTTGTGTGTGTCCAAAGCCCAGTCCCTTTCTTGCTTGTGATGCACGCTCTCTTCCTCTCTCCTGTTCTCAGACCACCCCCCCCCCACCCCTCCCTGCTTGAACCCTGCACCGGTCTTCCTCTGAAATCAGCTGGGTTCTTCTGTCTGGTGTGGTTGCTGCCCAAGCTGAGAAGTCTAAGAGTTGGTCTTGTCTCTGTGAGCTAGACCCTAGTGAAGACAGTGGGTAGCTGGACAGCTGAGGCCAGCAGCCAGGGAGGCTGAAGTTCCCAGGCAGACAGGGAATCAATTTTGGTGACTGATATGGGAGCAGGGTCATGCCAGGAGGCCGAACTGGCCTGACTGGTCAGAGGGAGGTTTGATCTCCCAGTTTGTTTCTGTGTGTGTGTCTGTCGGCTTAGGTGGAAGCTATCATGTGTGGTGGTCCAGGGTGACCTTTCTAGCTGGGGAGGGGTGGGTCTCCTCCCTGTCTGGTTTGTAGCCAGGTAGCTTGGTGCCGTCTTCTCTGGTGCTTCCCTGGGCCAGTGGGAAGCCACAGGGCAGGTACACATTGGGTAAGGCCATCCTAGAGAAAGTGAGCAAAGTATCTGCTTTGTGGGAGGGTGAGACCCTGGGAGGTTTCCATCCTGAGGCATCTGAGAGGATGCTGAAAGCCAAGGCTGACCTGGGATCTGCCTTGATTGGAGAGGAGAGGAACCTGTGAGATCAGAGGCAAGCCACACACACACTCCTTCACTCTGTACATATCATACCCTTGCATGTAAGATACTGTTTCCTGTATCCATACATCACCTCCCACCCCACACACACTGGGGGCAAGGAGGCTGCTAGGTCTCAGGCCCAGGTGGGGGCCTCCTTCAGTTCTGACCTTGGGCTTGGCGCCCAGGCAGGGAAGGAGTTGGAACGGTGCCAGCAGCAGGCGGATGAGGTGACGGAAATCATGCTCAACAACTTCGACAAGGTCCTGGAGCGCGATGGGAAACTGGCGGAGCTGGAGCAGCGTTCTGACCAACTTCTGGACATGGTGTGAGGCCTGGGGAAGCAGGGATGGGGGAGGGTGAGGCCAGGAGGAGTCCTCAGAGAGAGAGAGAGTTCGCAGGCTGTGCTCAGGGTCCCCTTGGTGGGGTCTGAGGCTTGCCTGAAGGCAGGTGTGGGGCCCGTGGGTTTGCTGAGCCACCCTTAGCCTAGATATGCTCCAGGTAAGCCTCGTGAAGAAGTCCTGGGTTTGAAGCTGTGCAGCTCTGTAAAGGTTGAGGGCTGGTATTGTTAACTGGAGTGTCTGAGACCAGGAGTCAGGCTGGGAGGGTTCCAGGGCAGGCTATGTGGAGAAGGGAAGCAGACAGGCTGGAAAGATGCAGACGGAGACTAGGCCCTTCTGGGGAGGTGGAGTTGGGAGACCCTGGCCCTGGATTTCTAGAGGAACCACTAACTCCCATCCTGTGTCTGGGAATGTCCACAGAGCTCAGCCTTCAGCAAGACGACCAAGACCCTGGCCCAGAAGAAGCGCTGGGAGAACGTCCGTTGCCGGATCTTCTTGGGGCTGGTGGTGGGCGGCAGCCTGCTCATCATCCTGATTGTGCTGCTGGCCATCTTTCTCCCACAGAGCAGCAAGGGCAGCAGTGCCTCTCAGACCCAGGACGCAGTGGCTGCCTCGGGGCCCAGGGACTGACCCAGCTGGGTCTGGAGGAGGGCCGAGTGGCCACACTGGCTGGTTCTGGTCTCCAGAGAACCCTGGTGTTTGCTCCCATCTGAGCCGCCCAACCGAGTGCTGAAGAGCAGCCCTGACATGTGCACCTTTGCATCTCCTATCACGCCACAGACTGGTCCTTGAGGGCAGCCTCCTGCCCCGGCCGTGCCAGGCCAGCCCCACCTGGAGCTCAGTAAAAGCTGCTGTTTGGTTAAAAGCTGCTGTTTGGTTAAAAGCTGGAGTGTCTGTGTGTGTGTAGGTCTGAAGCTCTCCAGGTTGCCTCCACTCCTGGGGCTGCTGAAGTCTACCGCCCTAAGGCCTCTATTCCTGGGAGATGGCCCCTTTCCTTTCCCTTCCATACTTGATTCAGCCCTACCCAGACAGGTCCTTCTGGAGTGCAGGTGGAAAGACAGCGTGACTCCCAAACCTGACCCTTCAACCAGTGCCCTCTAAGCCTGTTTCCCTAAGAATGAAATCTATTACTTTCTGATGTCTTGAGGATACTCATTATAGGACTCCAGAAGAGGAAAGTACTTCAGAGATTTTTATATGACAAGGCTCTCACCTTTGGGACAGACTTTTTCCTTTCTGAACCAGCCCCCACCCGCCCAGCTCAATTTCTCTCCTATGTTCTTCCTCAAGCTTGACACCTGATTACCGATGAGGCGGATAGCAGTGAAAATGGGAAGGGCTTCAGTGGTGCAGTAGTGCACAGTCCCAAAGGATGGCCTGGAGTTTGCCCCGTGGGAAAGAATTCAGGCTTTTCAGAGCTCCTTGGCCACACAGGGCCAAGCAGGCAGTGCCTTTGGGGTCACAGGAAAGATGATGAAAGGGTAAAGGGCATGGAAGAAGGAAAGAAGGCCCTAACAAGACTGAGGAAGTTGGGCAGTCTCTGCCTGGCTACCTGACTGCGTCTCAAACTCAAGTGTGGGTGGAAGGAAAATTCAGGGTCAAGTGTGTAACAGAAGCAGTTCCTTGTTAGGCAGAGGGAGGGCTACTGACACAAAAATAAGAACAAACCTGAGAGTTGTGTGGAGCTTTACCCCTCACAGGGCTTGTTACTTCTACTCTGGGCTCATTACCATCTTTTCCTGGGAGAGATGGAGAAAAACACTTGGCCCTGCAGTTGGATGGTCAGGACACCATAGTCAGCAACACCACTTAGAGGCCACGTGAGTTTGGGCAAGCCACTTCCAGGACTTGGGTTTACCTATGTAAAAAGGGACATACTTAATTCCCAGAACACTTGTGAGGACTATTTATGCTGTGTGTAAAACATCCATCAATGTAATGGCTCAAGATGCCAAATAAATGGTAGCTACCATCCAAATCATTTAGTGCAGTAGTCCTCAACTCAACCCAACGTCACAGTAGAATCACCTGTAGAGGGGCGGCTGGCTGGCTGGTTCAGTCAGTAGAGCATGCGACTCTTGATCTCATGGTTGTGTGATTATTCCAGCCCCATGATGGGTGTGCGGCCTACTTAAAAACAAACAAAATAAACAGAGTCACCCGTAGAACTTCTGAAAACACCACCCCCAGGCCTAGATCAATCAGTACCAGAGCTAAGGTTTAAAGTCTGTGGGATGCCTGGGCACACACATTAGCCACTGCCCTACAAAGCCTCCTTATGGGGCCTAGATCTGTTAACTCAGAATCTTTGCGGGTATCTGCGAAAGGGTTATTTTCCCCAAAGGGTGCAACCCCTTCATTCTCTCTCCATGATATTCATGGGTAGCCAGGGATGCAAACCACCTATTGGATTCAAGCCACTGATTTTACAGAAGCTAGGAAGAAGTGGAACAATGGGCTGAAGCCCCATGAGCGGGTAAGGTCCCAGAATTCCAGGCAAGGATCCTTCCTCTTACGGTTGGGGAGTTCTGCTCTACTCTTTATTGTGCCTAATAGAGAAGAAACGAGCAGAACGCTATTGTTTTGTGGGTATGGGAGGAATCAAGCGCCGACTCCTGAACCAACAGAAGTACAGGGCGGGGGCCGGGGAGAGCAACGGGAAACGCGGTGATTCAAGGTTCGCAGTACCGTCAGCCCTCGCGCCTCCCTTTCTGGAAGGGCCTCTAACACCTGCGCGTCCTAGTCCCTCTGAACGCAGAGAGGGCTGAGGACCGTCTTACAGTCTCGACACTTCGGTTTTCACCGCAGTATGGATGCGAACTACGCGACACTCCCACGTATCTACCTTACGTTAGGAGTCCAAAACAGATTTTTCTGACCACCAGCTCCTGCCATAGGCTTTAGCCTTTGGTCACCTGACATACTCGGGCCAACGAGGGGCGGCAGAATTAATACTTCCGCTTTCAATGCCCCAAATGAGCCTCTGTACCCGCCTTTAGGATGATCTGATTGGTGTTCCTCTCTCAGCTCGGCAGTTTATTGGCTAGCGCCGCGGGGCCGAAGTCCAGCAGGGTTCGAGGGCTGTGTCAGACAGCCCTGCTGCCATGGCGTCCTATTTCGATGAACACGACTGCGAGCCATTGGATTCCGAGCAGCAGGCCCGAACCAACATGCTGCTGGAGCTCGCAAGGTGGGTGCTTGGTGTCGGGAGGTGAGGGCCCAGGCAGCGGGTTTCTGGGCTGGGGCTGGCTGGAGAAGGCTGATTATATAGGGCCTCGATTTGGGGGAGGACGGATGAGTAATCTGGAGAGTTAGTCCAGCGACGACATTCGAGGGAGATCGATAACTCGGCTATTCATAGACTGGCCGGGCAAAGATATTGTAGGACAGACTGGAACTGGCAAGTAGGGGGAGTCGGTAGCGGGAGGGCAGCGGTTCTCGCAGGTGCGCGAGAAGACGGGTCATGGAGGCAGGGGAAGGGCCTATGGGTGTGAATAAGTACATTCGTTAGGAGCACCAAGCACGGCAGCCAACGCTGCCACTGGGAATCTGGCTTTACCAGGTTATTCCTACATAGCCTGAGTAACTTCTGAGCCTGTTGCCTCATGTGTAAAATGGGACTAAAACGCTTGCATGCTTGGGGTTGTCTTATAGCAGCTGTAAACCGCTTCCCACTGTGCTTTTTATCTAGTGAGCACTTCTGCAGGGTACTAGCTGCAGGGCATTTATCTGCTAATGCCTAGTGGGTTGTTGGGGGCAAAGACAAAGTATGGTTTTCTGTGGTTCTGACCATGCACCATTCTTCCCAGGTCACTTTTCAATAGGATGGACTTTGAAGACTTGGGGTTGGTAGTAGATTGGGACCACCACTTGCCTCCACCTGCCGCCAAAGCTGTGGTTGAGAACCTTCCGAGGAGAGTCATCAGGGGCTCTCAGGCCGGTGAGAACACTCATTCTTTCTGCTGTTTGGGGCAGATTTGCCAGACCCACCCCCTCCCAAGCTAGACTGGTCTGGCCGTTCAGTTTTCCAGGTCCGGCTGGGGCAAGAATGTCCTTGAGGAGTGGGAGCTGGGAGGTAGGGCCTGTAGCAGCTCTCCTGATCAGCACTCCCTCCCAAAGAGCTCAAGTGCCCCGTGTGTCTTTTGGAATTTGAGGAGGAGGAGACTGCCATTGAAATGCCTTGCCATCACCTCTTCCATTCCAACTGCATCCTACCCTGGCTAAGCAAGGTACTACTTCCTTTCTCTCAGCCCTCACCCTGCCCCAGGCCCAGTTCTCAAGCCTCTCAAGTTCTGTTTATGAACTGTGAGGGGATCAGAGAAGGGAGAGCGGTAGGGGTGGGAATTGGGAGCAGGGGACGGATATTAACTTCTGAAGACGAGACCTGGGCTGGAACACTGCCCTCCTTTCCTCAGACAAATTCCTGCCCCTTGTGCCGCCATGAGCTGCCTACTGATGATGACACTTACGAGGAACATAGACGAGATAAGGTAGGGGCTGGCGGTAAGTGGAGAGGGTGGTAATGGGGCCCCCTCACTCCTGTCCTCCGTGTTCTCATTCCCTACCTTAGCAGGTCTGCGCAGGCCTCAGGGTCCTTGGTTCTAGTTGTCTTCCTGGTGACTGGTGAGGGGCAAGAGCCTTGGCAATGCACGTGCTAGAAGCCTGAAAACAGTGACAGGCCCAAGAGAGCTGTCCCGTTGCTCCACCCACAGGCCATCACGTATGGCTCATGCCCATTGTGCCTTCTTTCCTTTAGGCTCGCAAGGAGCAGCAAAAGCACCGACTTGAGAACCTCCACGGAGCCATGTACACATGAGGCGCCCCACATGTACACATGAGGCGCCTGGGGCTGAGTACCGGTCCTCCAAATCTTTCTCTTGCACTGCGAATCCTCATTAAAGTTTTCTTTACCCACCCTGCACTGCATTGCTCACAAGCCTGGGCCGGGACCCCTTACCCTCCATGAGGTCCCTACTGCCGTTGGGGAAGGTGATCCTGAACCACAGAAATCACCAGGCTGTGTGTCCCTTCCTGCTGAGTCTACACACTGCTCAGTCTGGCCTGAGAGTAGTGGAGCCCAGGTCAAAAGCATGGCTACTTTTTTACACATCAGCCAGGGCTTTGGGCCTATGTGTTCACTGCTGGAAAGCAAAACGTGTCAGGGTCTGGCATCCAATAGCCACTTACAGATGATAAGGACAAACTAGCCTACATCCTCTCCCCTGCAATTCTTAGTAAACCTTGGAATCCCAAAGGCTTTCTTTAGCTTCATTGTAAAAACTCCTTGGATCATTTTGAAGTGGCCCTGTGGATCCCCCTCCCTCCCCTGCCCCATGCCAATATCACCTACTGAGGAAGCAAACTTCAAACCACACTGTTGAGTAGAAGGAGGATCAGGTCAGTTCTTTAGACCGTTTAAAGTTCTAGAAAGGGTTTCAAGCCCTTGAGGGGTATTTGGGTAGCAGCTGGCATCCTTTATTCTTGGCAGCCTTGCTCTCAAAGAGCAGTGGACACCCAGGACTCTCTCTGGGGGCAGGAAATTTTTCCCATCCTTTGCCCAGGGAAAGCCATCCTGCGTCAGTCTCTCTCGACTCTTCAGAACAGACTACAAACGTGCAAATTAGAATTCTTTTTATATATATATATATATAAAAGTACTAAAATACCCACATGGTTCTGCTGTGTTATTTGCCCGAAAGAAAGAAAGGGGCAGAGTGAAGAATCCCAATGCAGCTCAGTGGGTCCCAAAGTGGGCCTCCCGACAGACTAAGGAGTGCCTATCCCTCCACCCCAAATTCTATCTTTGCTGTTCCCAGCCCCCCATTCCTGCAGCAGGAAACCCCAGTGGTCTGGCTTTGGCACTGAGGAGTAGAAGGCACCTGAAGGGCTGGCTGGATGAAGTGAGAATATGTGACCTTTGAACATAAAAACCGCAGTGCAGAGTAAAGGGAGTAGGTTGTGTGCAGCCCAGCACCTGCCGGGCCTGTTCCTCTATGGCACGGATGGGCGTGGGGTGGCCATTGCTCCAGCGGCAAGGAAGCCTATATCCCAGCATACTTTCTCAAAACCATTTTTGGTACAAAGTAAATGCAAAGTTATGAGGTGGGGAGCTGCCAAGGCTGGCATGGCCACCCTCCCCAGACCTCAGATCATGGCGACGCTTTCGGGGGTACAGGGGAGGTGAGTGGAGGTGCGACCGCCCCCAGAGGGCTTGGCGGCCCGGCCAGGGGCAGGCTGTAGTGCAGCCACCAGCGTCTCTGAGGACACTGCTCCGAACTCATAGCTGAAAGTACCGTAGAAAATGAGGATGTCGATGACAAACACCCACTCGCACAGGGCTGCCCCGTGCTGCAGCTGCGAGCTCTCGTGCATAAAGAAGACAGCACCTGGAATGGGGCTAAGGAAATGCTCAGTAGGATATGTGGAAGTCGGCTGACCCTCCTACCTTCCTAGGTGTACGACTAAGCTGGGGCAAAGAGCCAGGTCTCACCTCCTGGGAGGGTTAAGTAGGAAACCACACTGGGCAGTATTTTCTGGATATACACCCCCCCCCCCCCCCCCAGGGTCTTGGTGGGGAGAGGCTGGGCTAGGGGATTAGTTCCTGGCTGTCCTGTCCTGGAAGGATACTGAGGATCAGGGTGACAAAGGCGATGGCTGCCAGCACAATCCGCAGATAGGCCATAGCCAGGTCCTGGGGGGCGGTGGCTGCCTGGTAGCAGAGAGCGCAGTGCAGGCAGACAAAGAGCAGCCCGGCGGAGAAGGCCACACCAGTTCCCACGTAGTGCAGAGACTTAGCATGATCCACCTGGCCCAGAGAGAGCGCCGATCTGTGCAGCGGCCCCACCTCCTCCACCCCTCTTTGCACCCCCCATCCCCTCTCCCTCCCAGACCCTCCTGTCCCCACCCTCAGCCTTGAAGGGCTGTCTCTGCAGCTTGGGTCAACCTTCAGGGGACTGAGGGTACCCGTCCGTGAGAGTTCAAGAGGCAGGCAGGCGGGCACACCTGGAAGTTGCCGACCACCACAAGGCCCGCAGCGTTGGTGCAGCCGGTGATGAGGGTTGTGGTGTTGACCCAGGAATGTCGACTCTGCTCCAGGAGCTGCCCGTAGCGCAGCAGGCAGATCAGAGCCACTGGGGGAAGACAGCACAGGTGGCGCCGGCACTGGTGCTCTGCTCCCACCCCAGCCAGGCCCAGCCAGCCCACCAACTGCCCAGCCTCTGCCCCTGCCTCTCCCCCACCCCCCACTCTGAGGGCCAAAAGGGACCAGAAGGGCAGGTGGTGAACTGGGTGTCCTCAGGCTCCGGCCAGCAGGGTGGCTGTGTGGGACACTTTGGGCCTCATTCAAGAACAGGAGAGACGTGACTCTTCTTGCCTTAGCCCTTGGTGGGGTGGGTCACACCGAACAAGGGTTTCCTGGGCCCTTCTTGGAGAGGGATGGGGGAGTGGGTTGGGCTGGGCTGGCTAGGGGGGCTGAGGGCACGACTCACCCATGAAAGCACCCATGTTGCCAATGAGGCTGAAGAGGCAGCTCTCTGGGGGATATGTGCCACACTTGCTGAGAGGAGGGGGGGCAAGGACAGAGTGAGAGAGGAGCAGGAGCACTAGCACCCCTATTCTGGCCCATCTGTCTCTTGCTTTAACTGTGCCTGTTCCTTAGCAGGCAAGCCACTGATTTAGGAGAAGGGCCAGCTGTGTTCTATAAACAACTGGCTGTGGGCAGGACCCTCCCCCAAAGCAGAGCACGTGTGCGTGATGCGTAAGGTAGTGCCCAGGACTGCTTGGTGGAGTCCAAGACTCCTTGGACTCCCGGAGACCGTCAGGGTCTGCAGCCAGTCTGGCTTTCCTCGAGCCAGAACTGGGCTGAATAATCAGACGGCTTGAGCTTAAGTCCAGGCGCCTCCACCTACTAGCTGTGTGGCCTGGACAGATGACATACAGTCTTGTTTCCTTGCCTATAAAACGGTGAGAACAGTAGCTGCCCCAAGGTTAGGAGGGTTAAACGGTGTTCTGCGTGTAAAGCATTCAGCACAGGGCCTGGCACACAGTGATTGGCAAGTAGTATCGTTATTAAGTGCTTTTTAGTATACTTAGTATATCTGAGACCCAGGGGCAGGTCTGTGAGGGGCTTGGGGCTCCCTTACCTGCCCAGTGTCCAGGCCTTACCTGATGAGGGGGATATCATCCAGGGTGCAGCAAGTCTTGGGACCCCCTTGTTCGGCAGGGTCAGGAGAGCAGGATTCGTTGTAGGACCTGGCAGGCAGGACAGAGAGTAGACTGGGGGAAAGGGGTTTTCCCAGCCTGTACCCTCAGGCTTCTCAGAGACTACCCTCCCCGTCTTCTCTTGGCAGGGGCAGAAGAGCACTTCCCTGAACTGGCCTGAGACAGATGCCAAAGGGGTGAAGGGATGGTGGGAAACAGGTGGATGGGCCTGAAGTCATGCCTGGGGAGGGGCAGGCATTGCCAGGGTCAGATAAGAGCAGTGAGGGCCCGGGTCTCTGGCTTGCTCACAACAGCCCCGACCCAACAGGGAACAGAGATGAAGGAAGCCTTAGAGGGAGGCTGTCTACAAGTGCATCATACCAGTTCTCCACAGGGCATGCGTGGCGGTTCATCACGGCCATGGCATACCTGTGGGAGCAGAACTGTCACCCCACACCCGTGACCCTTCCAGCCCAGCTTTCCCCAGCTGACTCTCCTCTCTTGCTTCTGGCCCCATTCGGCCTCATTGTCCTTGTTGGGGACTCAAGTTGGGGTGGCCCTGAGAATTGGCACATCAGAATAGCATGGCCCCAAACTAGAGGACCTCTGGAAGTGTCCTCGGCTAGAAGTATGTCTGTCAGGGTCACCATACTGGACAGCAGTGGTGCCAGCTTGCCCAAAGGAGCTGTGTGCCCAGGCACCAGGCCAGGCTTTGGAGAAAGATATAGAGTGATCCTGGGTACCACCCCGGAGGCTGCAGCAGGACAAGGGACTCTGTGTGTGCCATCAGGCTCCTGTTGGCTCCTGGCTGGGCCCTACCCCTCCTCAGCCTGGGTCCGTTCTGTCCCCTGTTGCCTTCCCCCCTCACTCTATTTACTCACACAGTCCATAGGCCAGTGATAGAGAATGCTGACAAGCTGACAGGAAGGAGGATCCAGGCGGTCATGAGGGAGGGGAGCCAGGGTGGTGGTGGTGTGGGGGGAAGGACAAGAGGTAGATGGGAAAGAGGGGGCCGGCCCAGCTACCTTAGGATACTTCGCCAAAACCATCAGCGGCCCAGGCCTGGTGGAGAGAAACAAGTCAAAAGTCCAGGATCCAGGGACTGACCAACGACGGTGGTGGGGAGAAGGTGGTCAACACCAGATTCACAACTTCTGCTGGGGCTCTGAGCGCCCACATTTTGGGCTGAGCCCACGCCAACACGTGGACACCTTCTGGCATCCCCCGGGGGCCTCCGCGTTCCACCTGAAAGCCGCCGGTGGGCCCAGGCACACAGGCGGGGCCGTAGCATCTGCGGAGGGAGTCACGCTCCCTCGCCTGCGGGATCGGGCTGGGGGAAGGGTGCGATGAGGGCAGTCGAGGGGGCCGCGCCGCGGAGAGCCTGCCAGCGGGCGCCGGTCCCGGCGGAGCGGCAGCCACGCGCAGGCAACCACCTGACCGCCGGCGCCCCGGGGGAGAGGTGGGTTCGCGCAGGAAGCGTGTCTCGGCCCCCGCCCGCGAGGGCGCACGGAAATCCCCCCGGGAGCCGGGGACTCGAGCCTCCCCAAGGGCCCAGTACGCACCTCCCTGGAGCGCCCCGCCGCCTCCGCGCCTTGCTCCGCCCGGCGTGCTGTGATCTGTGGCTTCGGCCCTCGGAGCAGCCCTGGAAGGTTTAAAGGGCCGGGTGGCCCCGCCCCTGTCGCCCGGGCAGCGCCGCGCCGCCCGCCGGGACGTGGAGTCCGCACCGCCCTGCGCCGGGCCGGGGACTACAACTCCCGAGCCCAGGCGCCCGCGCCGCTATGCAAGCGTGGATGGCGCCCCGACTTCAGGAGACCTGAGCGCGTGGCACTCGAGTGGAGCCTCTGACTCCAAGATACCGATAGTGCCGCGTACCCCGTTCCTGCGGTGGAAGCTTCGGGAGGCGGGAAGCTCCGGGGCTGCACCACTGTGATTGTCATCGCGTACAAGGCTGGAGGAAACCTCCCTTTGCCGCTGGGCACATTTTTGCAGCCTAGACTGTCCGACAATGAGACTTGGGGGAACCTCCCTCAATGTGGTGCCCCGTGCATGCTTCTGTTCTGGGCGAGGTGGGTTCGCAGAGAAGCGAGCACAAAGCCTTGGCTATTACTTAAATTTCAAGCGCCCTGGATTTGTCTTATGCTTCCTTCCCTTCGGCTCAGCAAACCCTGGAGGAGGGCTACTTTATCAGATACTTTTTATTTTCAAGGGTACAGGTACACACAGTACTGTCAGTTTCCAAAACATGTTTCCCAACTGATGAGCACTTATTGAAACAAGGCCACAGAGACCAATGGATATCTATGGTCACACATGGACAGGTGCTGGTTAGCAAGAGGCAGGCTGGAGACTCAGAGCAATTTGGGAAGAGGAAACAGGATAGTGTGGGAATAAATTACCATCGGCTTCACCAAAATGTACAGGCCAAGGGTGCCTTCCTGGACATTCTTTTCACAACAAAAAAGAGTGAGAATACTTCTTTTCACACAACCCAAAGTGGTCTGGCTACTGTAAGCAGCAGCCCAGAATGTGCTGGAGCCCCTGTGGGACAGCAGGGGGGCTGCCTGATCGGTCATTACCTGGAGGGCCCAGGCTGCCAGGAGCAGGGGGCGCTTAGGTCTGGCAGTGCCGAGAGTCAAAGGTAATGTGCACAAACAGGGGGCCCCATACTGAGGGGAAAATGGAGCAGATAGATAATCTGGAAGAGGGCTTGAAGGAGCAACCTTTTTTTTGACCCAGTGGAAGGTAAAAAAAGAGAAACAGGAAATTTGTGGGAGAGCCCTTTTCTGAACTGCATCAGGACAAGTAGTTAAAGCAGGGCCAAGAAGAATGGCTGTGCAGAGAAATCACGCTACAAGAACTGGCTGAATGGACTAGTGGGGCATGAAATTCAGTCCACTTTCTGGCAGTCATGCTCTTTGCCGCAGAACACAGATGTGCCTCTTGCTCATTCACAGGTAAGCACCACCTTCCTGCCCAGGTTGTGTTCCCACTGGAGCAGGCACCTTTTTCTCACCTGCCCAACGGTGCTGTGAAGCCTCAGCATTTCCTACCTCCTTGGAAGTTTTCCAAGTTTCAGTCAACACTTAACTACATTCTGTTGAGCTGGGTTTGAGTTCCTGTCCAACCGTTATCATGGGAAGACCTGAGAAGCTACTTGGATCCTACACTGGCTGTTCTAACATAAAGCGGAGGTAAGACAAGCACTCCAGAACTGTGACAGAGGCAGATTGTGGCTGAATATGACAATCTCAGTAGTCCCTAAAGTAGAATTACCCCAAGATAGAGTAGAACTCCCCGTGACAGAAGAGCTCTTCAAATGTAGTCGGTAGGGAGGAGTCACTTATCAGAAGACAAGTGGGGCCAGACATCTTTAATAGTCCCTCCTAGCTCTAATGGTACGTGAGTCTAGTTGTTATGCTTCAACCAGGACAGTTCTTAAAATAGTCAAGGCAAAGCAAGAGATGAGATTTCAAGTGCTGATTCTGTGGTGCTGAATGACTTTAGGGCAGGCATTTAATCTGTACTTCTCTTATGTACACAAGCGATTTCAAAACTCTTGGCAAAAACAGTGCTGTAAAAATAGTTAAGTTTATTGCTCAAAAAGAATACTGTTTTTGAAAAGTACCTTCCTTCCAGGATTTTCAAATAATTTGCACACTTCATTAGTCCACACAGCAGAAACATTGGAAATGTGGAAACAGAAGAATATATGGCTTGTTACACATTTAACACCACAACTCAAACCAGTAAAACCAACCTCTCATCTGGTGCCTCTGAGTAGGCAAAGGAGCCATTTACTCAGGTTTTTACTTCTAGTGTCACTCTAGCTACTGGAGAAATGTGGGGTACGTGCCTATGGCTTTTTGGCTATCTGATTCCTCAGAGACAGGACAGGAATTCAATGAGGGGGCTTAAGATGTTTCAAATAATTGTCAACATTCTGTGCTGATTCTCCCAGAAGGCTCAGAGGTAGGAAAACAATTGTCCTCCTTCCCCTTTCTCTGTGCAAGGGCCTCATTTACACTTGGGAATGGGCTGCGGATCCGCTACTCTACCATGCATGCATCCTGGCAAATGCACAGCAGGTTGGACAGTCACTACGCCAAAAGGTTTCTTCCAGCCCCACGGGCTGATCTCAGGTTGGCAGTGCCTTGCAGAGTGGATCATGGAGGTGGAATGCCCTTTTCAGAGTCTCATCCACAAGGAGAAGCATTTGTTATTGCCCACGTTGGTCCTAGTGGCTGGCCAAGCTCCACAGACTCCTACTCTCAGTACAAAAAGCTTTACTTCTTTTCTGTTCTTGCATCACATTCTTCAAAGACTTCTATGCTTGCCAACTGGCTAGAATGCAAACTTTAGTGTTTACTCTTAAACAGCCGAAAGCCCCTAAGAACCCCAGATTCCTTCTATTTATAATATCAACGATCATGGCCCAGGAAATACAAAGCCTTAAAATCCAATGCCTACCTTCAGTAAGAACATTCAAGGGCATGAGATAGGTCTTAAGGCTACCAGACTTCTTTCTGACAGCCAAGAAAGTATCTAGTCAAGTGAGTAGATTCTGAAGCAGCCTGCCAGAAAGCTCCAGTTAGTCTGACACGGTTGCCACTGTACCAAATAGCACAGGGCAGACCTCTCTGTGATATCTGGAGAGCCTACGGGAAATGCTCTGGAACACGCTCCTTGATGGCAAAGCACCGAGTTTTGCAAACAGCTGGAAGATGTCTGGAGGCAAGTCTGGTGAAGAAACTGGATGGTGCCAGCGCCGTCTTGGAGCCCTGCTGAGGGGTGGCAATAAGCGAGGAGCCTGAGCTAGAAGGCTGCCAGCTGGCTGACGGCCACTCCCAGGGAAGCATTTGAGGCACAGCTGGAGCAGTGGTAGCAGCATCACCAACAGGCCTCCCTGAGAGGACAACCTTGCGTTGAAGTACCATGGTTAGTGGTTTCTAGTCGTGGTGCTTAAATTAGCTAAGAATTAGGATGCTTCTTAGGGTGGAAAATATTTTATATGCACTTGATAAGCAAAATGCCTCAAGAAAAAAGCTCACAAACATGGAGTTCCCGTGAGTTTCTTACCTGAGAGTGTGAGGATTACATTACAAACACATAAAAGGTCACAATAGGTACACACTTCCCTTCTTACAAACAGGAATGGAGGCTAAAATTTCAGGTCCCATGCCCCCAACCTCTTCTTCTGGTCTTGTTTCTAAATTCTGTAATAAATCCATGAAAGAGGCCATCCAGTTGTGAGAAGACAGACCCAAAAAGTATTTCCAGACTAGGAAGCCTAAGAGTTCCAGTGAAATCCCATGTCCAAGTCGGAAGATCAGTTGAAGAGCTGGAAGACTAAAATCCCCAGTCCTCTGAGCTGCAGGAAGATTGGGGCTAGAGTGTGGCACAGCCTCCCTGACCCAGGAGGCTCTGGAGGGTGTTTAACATTACAAGTCAGAAGGCACTTCTAGCCTGGCTGAGTAAGTAGAAGGCAGACTTTCTCCTCTGAAAGTAGAACTGAGCCTAGGACTGGCAAGTTTAAGGCATTTAACCTTAGGCCAGCTCTGTGGGTCAGGAACATTCTGGTCCTTGGCCTCACTTATCCACCTCACTCACCTTCCCAGGATTCCTCTGGTACTGCAAGCTGCAGCTTGCTAGATTCTGATGATGTAGTTTAAGTAGCTGCCTTGCCCCATTCCAGAGGCGGTAGATTTTTCAGGGGTGTAGGCACAAACCAACAGTGAGTGCCTTCAGGTGTCCTTTAAGAGAAAAGGTGCTGAGATGGAAATGCCAGACTAATCTTGAGACCCTGATGTAGAGAAACCCCTGGAGCGGGGGGTGGGGGGAAACTTTGGTTTCAAGAAATCCAGAGTGTTCGTGGGCTCACTGAAACCCCGTACTTCAAGTCACTGAGGTTAGGTCAGTTGCTGGAAATCTCAAGTGGCTTGGAACTCCTCTGCACAGGATGTCTTGTGGACTTCTCAGAGCTCAGCCTAACCCTGCATTAGGGAAAATGTTCACTGAGATGAAAGCAGTGATATTCCTAGGATCTTTATTCTAAGTATCTCAGTTTATATACTCTTCGGAGATAGGAAAGGAAAAAGAATGGGGCAGAGGAAGATGAGAGAGGCTCATTTCACAGCCCTTTCTTTGTGCCTTTTATTCTTTTTCTTTTCCTTTCTCTTTTTTTTTCAACTAGGGTTCCAAATAGGCAATTATTGCTTATGTTGAATTTCCCTTTGTATGGACATTCAAGACTTATGTCACATTAGGAGAGTCGTTTCAAGCTTGTTTTGTTGATCCCTCTCTAGCCTGAGCAGAGGATGGTCTCTTCACAGCTGGGGAGGCTAAAAACTAGAGTCCTGTAGCCATATGCAAGGCAGGTTGTGCTGCAGGAAACCCTTGCAGTTTAGTTCTGACATTGTCTTCTAGCTCTATCTAGACGGTGCAAGGCAGGGGGTGTTGAGAGAAACCTGCAAAAGCCATGGAAGGGGAGGGAGACATGCTTTCCGCCTTAAAAATGAAAATCTCCTACTTGACTGATAACTCCCCACCTCCACAGTCCCGAGCAATTGGGAGGTGCAGTTATGTTGGGACGTGGGGTGGAACTGATGGATTCTGAGATCAAGAGAGGAGAGAATGGAAAGAACAAAGAAACAGCTGAAGAAAAGATCTAGGAAAATGTGGATGGAAGTGAGCAGAAGCAAGGAACAAAGGAACCATAAAGAAACAAACACGGCTCACTGAGCTGGGTGGGGCGCAGCGGCTAGGTGTCCCATGGCATGTGACCTCAGTAAGAAAGCAGCATGTTAGCACAAGCTATGAGGAACCTCAGCTCTCCCTGGAATCTCTGCTTCCAGGACACCAAGGCAGCCAATCAAAGTTTTCAAATTCCAGATACAAATGGGCCCAGATATAAGAAAGAATGGCCACAAAGGAGGTGGCCAGGCTTGTCCCTCTATTCCTATGGATGTGTCAGCTTGGGGTGTGTGTGTGTGTGTGTGTGTGTGTGTGTGTGTCTGTGTCTCAAGATCAGTTCAGACTGGTGTTGGCACCCCCGAACTTGGGGTGTGTGTGTGTGTGTGTGTGTGTGTGTACGTGTGTGTGTGTGTCTCAAGATCAGTTCAGACTGGTGCTGGCACCCCCGAACTTGGGATATGTGTGTGTGTGTGTGTGTGTGTGTGTGTGTGTCTCAAGATCAGTTCAGACTGGTGCTGGCACCCCCGAACTAGGGGTGAGCTCCCTGGGCAGTGAATCCAGCCTGACGAGACTGCCTTCAGCCTGGTCAATGTCGGCTCTGGCGCTTTGCAATCTCCTCCTGGATGCGCAACTTGAGGGCCTCTCGCAGGGGTGGGTCCAGAGGCGTGTGTGCCGACACCTCCTCACTCACCCTTCCTGGATCATCATCCTACGTGGAGGAAGAGTCGGGAAGCTCAGGGCCTGGCCTCTTCTGGAAAGGCGACCTGCCCTGTCCCTAGACCACACTCTTACAGAACTCCGTTTGACTCAAGGCTTCCTGCCAGTGCCTGTCATTTCCCGGATGGCCCCTGTAATAGTGATTTTCACCTGGGGGCCACGTGCCCTCCCTGTTGCCCGCTGAGAATCACTGTGTGACAGGCATGAGTTGTGCCCAAAAGCATCGCCCGGCAGTATATGCTCCTAATGCAGAGCCGACACTTCCCACTGGCCCTGAGGAAAACAGTGGCTCAGGCTCTGGCAGTGATTTCTAGCACAGCCCGGGACCTTCAGGTTGCAGCTGCCTCCACGCGGCATACCTGATACACGATAACCGAGGTGACCTCTCCGCTGTCTGCCTCATATTCTAAACAGAAGAGCTGATGGCCAGAAGGCTCTGGCTCCGAGCCGCCACTACTGCTGCTTTCACCAGATTCCTCACAGTCTGGATTGCTTGGGCGGGTAGAGCCATCTGGAAGGATGAATCACAGTGAAAGGGAAGAGGGGAAAGCTGTTGGAGCCCCTGCCCACATGTATGAAACATGAAAATATAACCATAAAGAAAGTTCCAATTTTCTTACAGACCCTGTGTGTGTATGCATGTGTTAAGTGTGCTGCCAATGAGTAGTTTTGTTTATCTTTGTGTCTGTGCTCTGGGGCCAGCAGTCACACAGGAAAAATACAATATGCCTTCGTAGGAAAGTAGTGGAGAGGTCGATAGAGCCCTGCCTGGGTTCAAATACAGGCTCTGCCATTTATTAGCTCTGAAATCTTGGGCAAGTTACTTAATCTCTCTGTGCCTGTTTCCTGACTGTGAAACAAATGATAATAGTTCCCATATCATGGGAGTCAGTGAAAACTAAGTGAATGAGAGTACCCAAGACCTAAAAAACAACTTTTAAGTAACGCTAAACAAATTTAGTGCCACGTTAGCTACTGTGATCTTTAGGTCCCTGCGAAGCTTGAGAAAAGGTGTTATTTTATTTATTTTTTTAAGAAAAGGCCATTTTAAATACTAACTTTGGGTTTCCTTTTACGAGTATGTTCTGGTCAACTACAGCTGTGCCGAGCTTTCTCTCCGTCAGGGAGTGAGAACTCTATAAAACACAGCACGGTGGTCAAAGCAGTAGACAACTTCTTGCTGGCTCCCAGGTATTTCCTGTAATAGCGATGCTTAACTGGGCCTTCTCTGCTTTCAGGGAGATTCAGTGAGCAGAGAATGGGGGGCGTCCAGGTGGGGGTTCCGGGAAGGGACGACGTGAACCGGGCCTTGGGGAATAAAAAGTGGTATTTTCCAATAAAAAGTGGTATTTTCCATATAGAGAAAAGAGTGCATAAAGGCAAAGGGCTGGGAGCCGAAAGAGCGCGCGGGCTGAAGGAGACAGGCGGGGTGGGCGGCCTCACCTCGGTGTCGCGGCAGGTACACCTGCAGGTCGGGCTTGCGGGGCCGCGTCGGCGCCGGCGTGTGCCGCCTCCTCGCCTTCTCCTTGGCCGCTTGCTTCACCTTCTTATCATAGTCGTCCCTGCGGGGAGCCGAGCGGGAGTCAGAGACGGTCGGGCCAAGCTAGGCTGGGGGTGGCGGCGGCGGGGCGGGGCGGTACCGGGCGAGCTGGTTCCGTCGGATGTGGTGCACGAAGCCGTGGCTCATGTCCAGCCGGCCGCCCGGCTTACAGCAGAGTCCCGGCCCGGGGTCCGGCGCCGCTTCCATCTGGAGCCCTGTGGTCGGAGCAGGCGGCGACACAACGGCCCCAACGGCCGCCCTCCCGCCGGGCAAGCTCCGCACCCCGACTTCCGGCCCCCGGCCCTGGTCCCGCCCCAAAAAAGCCAGGCGGGCCGAGCGGCCCAGCGCGCGGAGTTGCCTGCGCGGCTGCTGAGATGGGGCATGCGCAGCTTCCACTCTCCGTCGGGGCTTTTCTTTGTGACATTAGCAATAGGAAACGGGACTTAGGCTTACTGTTAACACATAAGAAAATTCAGAAGAACACAAAGCACCCAATACGCCACTCAGCATTCGGTATGGAGTCTTCCTCTCCTTTTTGTGGTGATAAAATGCGGTGAAACTCCTATCAGTTGCGTGACCTCAGCTATTGAGCTCCAGTGCCTCAGTTTCCTCATTTGTAAATGAGGACACTGAAAGCATCTACCTCAAAGCAGGTTGTGAGGAGGTGAGTGCTCTGGCAGGGTACAGAGCAGTACCCCGCCACCAGGCAGCCCCAGGAAGGCTGCTGGAGAGTGGGACACCCCTTCCAGCCGGCCAAGCGCCTGAGCCCACCCTACCCATATCTTAACTGTCCCCGCAGGAGGATCCAACGCTTGTAGGATCTGTGTGTGTAGTTTTCAAGTCTTTAAAAAATTTTTAATGTTTACTCATTTATTTTGAGACAGCAGGAGCACAGGGTTTGGAGGCAGGAGGGACAGAGTAGGCTCTATGCTCTCAGCATTCAGAACCCGCCGTGGGACTCGATCCAGCACTGTGAGATCATGACCTGAGCCAAAATCCAAGAGTCAGAGGCTTAACCGACTGAGCAATCCCGGCGCTAACAGCTTCCACACCATTGAAAGGTTCCCTCTCTGTTAGCTGCAAATTTTGGGTAAGGTGGCAGTAGGCCCAGACGTAAAGGGACCTCAGGAGATACAGTACCTCCCAGAAGGTTTCCCCTGGCGAAATGTGTCCGCAATGCGGACTCGTAGAGAGCCCTGGGCTGGCTAACAGCACCGCTCCTGATTGGCTGCCTGCCTTGCGCTCTGGCGTGCTTTGAGCCTGCGCAGAGGGACTCGGCCGGTAGTGGCAATGTCCGGCCGGTCCAAGCGTGAATCTCGTGGTTCCACCCGCGGGAAGCGCGAGTCCGAGTCGCGGGGCAGTTCGGGTCGCGTCAAGCGGGAGCGAGATCGGGAGCGGGAGACTGAGGCGCCGAGCTCCCGGGGCAGCCCAGCGCGTGTGAAGCGGGAGGTCGAGCCTGTGAGCGCGCGCGAGGCCCCGACGCCGGTCGTCCCGCCTTTGCGAGTGAAGCGGGAGCGCGAGGTCGACGAGGATTCCGAGCCAGAGCGGGAGGTGCGAGGTGCGCGGGGCTGTGCTGGGCCGGGCGGGGCCGGGCGCGGGCTCGGCTCTCTCGTTCTCCTTTTCCTCTTGACAACTTTCACTGGGAGTGAGGGTGGGGGTGGGGCAGTCACTTTCCACTATTGTTGGCGACAAGCCTCCTCTACGTTTTAATGAGGACAGTACTAGTCTTTTTTTTATTTTTTAATGTTTTATTTATTTCTGAGAGAGAGAGAGAGAGACAGCGTGAGCAGGGGAAGGTCAGAGAGAGAGGGAGACACAGAATCTGAAGCAGGCTCCAGGCTCTGAGCTGTCAGCACAGAGCCCGACGCGGGGCTCGAACCCACGAACCATAAGATCATGACCTGAGCCTAAGTCGGACGCTTAACTGACTGAGACACCCAGGCGCCCCAGGACAGTACTAGTCTTAATGAAAACCGTAATTCTAATGTTTTAACAACAGTAGAAATAACAGCAGCTGCCCTTTATCGAATGCCTAACGTGGGCCAGGGGCTGTGCTAATTACTTTTGTAAATAACTGGAAAATCACCTACTAAATTGTGTTTTGCCCTTCAGTTTTTACAAAACATCTGACTTGTAAGTTCTGTTGTAATATCTGGAATGTGCCCATGTAGCATCAAGATCCTGAACCCCAGGCACCTCTGGCATACTGCTTGCTCTGCCATTCTTTACCGGGACCGAGTCACTGTGGTTTGGGAAAGTGGATTTTACGTGGCTGTCCCTATGAAAGTTAGCGGAGATAGTTTGGAGGCTGTGACCTTCGGGAGCCACTCTGATAACTGCTAGGGAGTCTTAACTCCCATCCATGACTGCAGCCTTTTGCCTCCTTCCTCTGGATTCCCGCTTTGCCTGACACTGCTAATTTCTGGAGACCTCTTTACCCATCCTTGATTCCCTGTCTGTAGAGGGCTACCTATACCAATTTGTTGATATCCTACCGGTTGTTAAGTAGGTTTCCATCACTTTTGAAGCTTTTCATTTTCACCGGAATTACATTTCCTTCACTGAACTTGAAATTCCTGACTTGAACCTGTTCCTGTATACTTGCTTTCTGGTGAGTTAGTAGAAGCCTACTGAAGCAGTAGGTGAATGTATCACTATGCTTACATGCTAACAGTGGGATTTGCGGGAGGGGTTACTAGTTCTCCAAGACTTTATAATTCTGCCTTCTGGTCCTGCTTATGTATTTATGATCATACTTTAATACTAACTTTTACTCTTTTTAAACTTTTTACTCAGGGTCTTCTGTTTGACATATTTTTTTGTATTACACGTAGGGTCCAGAATAGCACCTTACTCATAGAAAGTGCTTGATAAATATTTTTGAATAATTAATAATTTCAGGGTATTCTTTGTTTTTCTTAAATAACTTATCAGTTTCTGTTTTCCCTTTCTTTGGAAGAGAAATTGTTTTTTAGATATTTTGCCTAGTTGTGATAAAGGAGATTATTTTTTTTGAAATAGGCTAGAATCCCAGTTGCAGTTCTGGCTTGTCTTTTTCCCCTCTTTTATTTTTATGGTAAAGTAGATCACAGGTACTAAGATGGATTGAATATAATGCACAAGTATAGTTTAAAGAAGAATGAGCATCCCTATCAAAATAACACCAGCATTCTTCACAGAATTAGAACAATCTTAAAATACGTATGGAACCAGAAAAGACCCTGAATAGCCAAAGCAATCTTGAAAAAAGAAAACAGAAGCTGGAGGCATCACAATCCTGGACTTCAAGATGTATTACAAAGCTATAATCATTGGACAGTATGGTTCTGGCACAAAAACATACACTCAGATTGATGAAACAGAATAGAGAACCCAGAAATGGATCCACAAACATATGGCCATCTAGTCTTTGACAAAGCAGGAAAGAATATCCAATGAAATAAAGACAGTCTCTTCAGCAAAATGGTGCTGGGAAAATTGGACAGCAACATGCAGAAAAATGAACCTGGACCACTATCTTACACTATACACAAAAGTAAACTCAAAATGGATGAAAGACCTAAATGTAAGACAGGAAGCCATCAAAACCCTAGAGACAAAACCAGGCAAAAACCTCCTTGATCTTGGCTGCAGCAACTTCTTATTCAGCACATCTCTGGAGGCAAGGGAAACAAAAGCAAAAGTGAACTATTAGGACTTTATCAAAATAAAAATCTGCTGCACAGCAAAGGAAATAATCAGCGAAACTAAAAGGCAACTGATGGAATGGGAGAAGATATTTGCAAATGACATATCAGAGAAAGGGTTAGTATCTTAAATCTATAAAGAACTTATCAAACTCAACACTCAAGAAACCAGATAATCCAGTGAAGAAATGGGCAAAAGACATGAATATATACTTTTCCAAAGAAGACATCCAGATGGCCGACAGACACATGAAAAAATGCTCAACATCACTCATCCTCAAGGAAATACAAATCAAAACCACAATGAGATACCACCTCACACCTGTCAGAATGGCTAACATTAACAACTCAGGCAACAATAGATGTTGGTGAGAATGTGGAGAAAGAGGATCTCTTTTGCACTGCTGGTGGGAATGCAAACTGATGCAGCCACTATGGAAAACAGTATGGAGTTTCCTCAAAAAATTAAAACCAGAACTACCCTACGACTGAGCAATTGCACTACTAAGTATTTACCCAAGGGATACAGGTGTGTTGTTTTGAAGGGGCACATGCACCCCAGTGTTTATAGCAGCAGTATCAACAATAGCCAAAGTGTGGGAAGAGCCCAAATCTCCATCTGTGGATAAATGAATAAAGAAGATGTGGTATGTGTGTATGTGTGTGCTTGAGCGCGTGCACGCACACATACACACTGGAGTATTGGCAGTCAAAAAATGAAATTTTGCCATTTGCAACTATGTGGATGGAACTGGATGGTATCATGCTAAGCAAAATTAGTCACAGAAAGACAAATATATGACTTCATTCATATGAGGACTTTAAGATACTAAACAGATGAACATAAGGGAAGGGAAGCAAAAAGTATAAAAACAAGGAGGGGGACAAAACATAAGAGACTTAAATATAGAGAACGGAGGGATTGTGGAGGGGGGGGTTGGGCTAAATGGGTAAGGGGCATTAAAGAATCTACTCCTGAAATCATTGTTTCACTGTATGCTAACTAACTTGGATATAAAATTAAACAATAAATAAATTTAAAAATATATATTAAAAAGTAGTGAAAATCTACATCCTTAAATTTACCACTTGTCAATAACTGTGAAGGGTTTGAGATTTTATTTGCAAGCTGCATAATTTTTTTTTTTAAATGCTTTTATTTTTTTCTGATAGAGAGAGAGTGCAAGCTACATAATTAGCCTGCCACAGTTTTCGGGATGCTAAGGAAGATGGGACTAGTTCCTGTAGAGTCATTTCCCACAGCAACATGAAGAAGATATACTCATAGTGGGTGGCCTTACTGGAGAAGAACTCTGGGCTTACAGAACTTAAGTCTTTCATAATGGTCTGTGAACTTGCCTCCCCTTTGCCCTGTAGGGAGACCCTGTCTCTGTCTTCTAATGCTGTTTACTATACAAATATCCTTGACAAGGTCTGGAGGCAGACAGTGCCTTTGGTCACAGTATGGACAGAAACATGAGAGACCCATGGAGAATTGTCTCCTAATGCTATTCAGCTTAAGAAGTGGTATGTAACCTGTACCTTAGAAGGTCCCTTAGGCCCCTTCCTATTAATATCTGCCTTCCTTGTTTGGGAATTCAC